GAGCCCCGATGTACACATGTGTGCACATGCATGCACGCACGCATTCAGGCCCGCACACACGCAGGCACTTACGGTCTAGCACACTCCCACACACGCACCTTATCAATGTCAATGTCAAACAGCTGGTTGAGCCCCACAATGTACACATTCGCGAGCAGTGCCGGTACCACCGCCTAGAGTCGGTGAGGCCAGACCAGCCAGGGGAAGACAAGGAGAAGAGGAGTGAGGATGGCTTACAGCCAGAGGATTTGGTTAAAGGGGCGAGAATGAGGGGGGTAGCAGCCAGGGACAGCATGCACAGCCTGCAAGGATAGCACGAGCAGCTTAGACAGAAATTGGTAAAACGGAAGCACGGCGCGAGTCTGATAACAGGAAAAACGTGACCAGACAAAAGACATGGAAGATATGCAATTACAGCGTGAGTGACACAGATAGGCACAGTGTACATGCGCGGACTGCACACAGTGCGCATAGCGCCCGAACGGAGGGGTAAGCCTGTAAATCCCCACAGGGAACATGTATGTGTGTGTGTGTGTGCGTGTGAGTGTGCATGTGCGTGTATTTCTTATTTACATGTTTTACTGATATTATCATTTAAACTTGCGCTTGTTTGAACCTGAAACAGATGGGCGTACCTGTAAGAGGCCGACGAGGAAGCGTGTGTTTAGATCCGCGACAGAGGCAGCTGCGAGCAGAGACACGGACACGATGCTGATGGTCTGCCATGGGGGAACGTAGGAGGCGAAAAATGGGAGGGGAGAGTGGGAGGGGAGAGTGGGGAAGCTGGGCGATCAGGAGGAGAGGGAGGACGGGAGATGATTCTTGTGGAGTCTCAAGGACACGGGAAGATGGGACGAACAGGAGGCAGCAGCAAGCAGAGCAGATGCGCGTCAGCCTCATGTATCCCGGTCATGTCACAAGAGCACACAGGCTCAGCCGCTCAGCCCCAATAATCCACTGCGAGCAGTGATGCTTTTAAGTTTTCTCAGAATACATCCGTGTATGTTCATATTAAAGTCCATCACGCCACAGAATCACCGTGCCAGCCATGGTGTGCGGGCGGATGAACAATAGGCCAACTTAAAATCGCATAGATGTACGTTACCATTCAAGTCACTGTGTTACCAAGTAACAGAGTCCTGTGCTTTTCAGGTCAGTCAAACCACTCAAGCCACGGCTCACCATTCCAATCAAGGTGTGCGGGCGGGTGAACTCTAGGCCAAGTTAAGCCTCATCTAAGCACGTTCCCTTTCCAGTCAGTCAAGTCAGTCAAGTCAGACAAACCATTCGAGCCACGGACTCACCGTGCCAATCATGGTGTGCGGGCGGGTGAACCGCACAAACGCATCCAAATTCTCCTGCGCGCGGGTAACTCCGCTCTTTACCACCTCCCCCATCCCCTGCCCTTCCGCCAGGCTGTTCCGCGCGCTCCCATTCCGCGCAGCCCCTTTCCGCGCGGACCCCCACCCCACCAGGGGCGCGAATGGCGTCGCCGGGATTCGAAACCGCGTCTCCAACGAGAAAGGGCGAGCTCCGAAGGTGGGGGAAGAGGAGCTGCTGATAGTTCCGCTTCTGCTGGTAGCATGCGCGGTCGTGGTTACACTGCTTCTAACGCGGATTCCTTGGCTCAGGTGCGAAACTGCTGTCGAGAAAAAGGGAAAGGCGTGGGGGAGGGAGAGAGAGGAGGGGGAGGGGGAGGAGGGGCGGGGCGGGGGGGTGAGAGGGGAGGGAGCGGGGAAGAAGAAAAGGCGGGGCGGGGGTATAAGGGAAAGAGGGCAGAACATGAGCGCGGGTAGAGCTAGGATGAGGAGAAAATAGGCGGGTGGGTGCTTCGTAGAGCAGAGCGAGGGCCAGAACGAGGACAAGGGATGACAAGGGTACGAAAGTCGGAGAAGGGGAAAGGGAGGAGGGAGGGGGGGAGGGGATGGGGGAAGGGGGAGGGGAGAGGGGGAGGAGGGACGAAAAGGGGGGTGGCGGGTGGGGGAAAGTGGGTGGGGGGAGAACGAGAGGAGAGGAGGGACGCTGGAGAGAGGAAGGCAGAGAGAGGGAGAAGAGAAGGGACGGAAGGAAGGGAGGGGAGGGAAGACAGCTCGGCTCCTAAGCTTTCTCCGCATACCTGAAACGGTTGTCCTTGCGCAGGATGGATTCGTACGCGTTATTGTGTACGCTACTGGAATAGATCCTCCCATATACCGGTCCACTGGCACAGGCAGGGAGACCGTCAATCCCCAGGGGGCCCCAGCCGCAGCAACCACGCCGGACGCACCAGACGCGCCGAGCGCGCCGGACGCGCCAGCCCCGCCGGGGATCCGGAGAGCTTGAGATGAAATCATGGCGGAGGGTAACACCGCGACGCGGGGGGAAGGCGGATGGCGGACGAAACGGCGAGAGGGTGCACGACTGGAGATCTTAAAGGGGTGGGAACGGGAACAGGAACCGAGTGTGGTCCACGGCACGGCCAACGCGCTGCGGCGCTGCGCTTCGCGCCAATGATGCTGCGATTGAGACGCGGCGCGCTTGAGATCTGGGCTGTCTCCGCTGATCCGCTTTATTCAAAGTGATCTGCTGTGTGCTGAACTATCTTGACCACTGTTTCCCGTCAACAAATCCCTTCCCCTTTGCCAGAAGACTTGGCTAAAGAAAGTGGGTGAAATGGGACCCGTCCTGGTTTTACAGACGTGACACAGGTTACGCCGGAGCGCTAGGAGGCGCTGAAGCCGAAAGTGCAGCCGGATAGACTGGCAGTTGCTGCGCTGGATCTGTGATAGGATTTTTTTTCCAGTGGATATGTCATTAACTGGCTGTTGATAACAGCTCCTAACAACTGCGGCGAAAATGCAGAAACTGGAAGATCGCGCAGCAGAACACACTCGGAACGGAATGAAAATGGGATCTGATAATCGGATGATGGGCGAAGAGATGTGTCAGTCGAAGGCGTAGGTTACAAGACAGACGGTTGGGCTGGGCCAGGTGACCGAACTGCTGATGGAGGGAGCGGGGAGCGGAGCGTAATGGAGGCTGGTTTCCCGACGATAGTTTGCAATCTTTCCTGGACGGAATGACAGGTGGAACCGAACGGAACGAAACAGGAAGGTTCGATCAAGATCAATGAAGGGGCTCGCCCGCCAGCCAGCCCAAATTCGTGATTTCCGACGCTGTGCGGCGGGTGGGTCTCTGGTCGCCCAAAGTCCGAGATTTTTCAGTGATTTTTTTTAACTGTTTCGTTATGAAGGTCCACATGAGTGGAAAAGAAGGCTGTGGTGGAATGACACGGGATACAACTCGAAGGCTAGCAAGCCTTCCAGTGCACTTCATAGTTTTCGGATCTATCACTTAGATGGATGCGTCCACCCGTTTATGCTCACTAATAATCAGAGCAGTAAAAGTCAGTAGTCGCTTTCTAATTCCAAGCAACTGCATTTGCAGCGGTATAAACGATGAACGCGAACCGCGTAGGGGCACTTCTTTTGGAAATACAACCTGCTAGCTGCCTACTGGGTGGTAGACGGTGCGCCAGTGAGGTGCCCCGTTCCCCAAGCCTCGAGGAAGAAGAAAGGCTACTCTTCCTCCACGTGGCAAACAGATCCTGATATGTTTAGCCCGACGACAACTGCTCGACGACGAAACCGAGGTGGACCGTGGAACCGTGGAATGCAACCGCCACACACTCCAGCAGCCTATGACGGTGTTGTATTCTTTGTACAGTAACTTCTTCTCCGCCCTATGGTTCAAGAGGGGAGATGTGACGTGAAGTGACGTGACGTCCAGTCGGTGGTTGGGCAATTACACTGACGGTCGTCACGTTTGCAGCCCTGCGATGGGCAAACCAAGAAGAGGAGAAGTTGCATTTCCAGTCCAGTTCCACCGCAAGGGTCCGAGAGCAAATCATACGGTGCGGACTGCAGTGGAAGGGAATCCTCCTTACAGTTCGCTATTCTGCTTGTCTATTAGTTTCATGAATCGGAAAAACAGTGTGGTTAAAAATGACAAATTATGAACCATCTGAAAGTTGGGAAAAATAAGAGCAGGCGATGGGGAGGCACATTGAAACTATCTTGGCGTTCCTTATCAAACCAATAAATGGATATCACATTATTGTGCACACTATGCTCTTTCAGGTAAGCAGCACAAAGGCTTTTAGTGAACAGCATTAACAATTTCTCGTCTCAGGGCAGTACGCCATGGTGAGGCAGTCATTGGCGAGCAATAAAGGCAGTCATACCTCGAGTTCGGCCGCACAGCTAACCATTCCCCTCGCCTGTCATTTGGCCACGTGTACTGACAAGGTATCATTATAGCGATAAGACTACTCGTTGTTGTCATGTCTCATTATCCAAATGCCACGCTTCCTCGCCTCTCTCTGCTTCTACTACTCGCTCTCAGTATTTGCGCGGGCGAAATCCCGCTCGTTAATCCGTTACTACATTCGCTATCTTTGTCGAATGCGAACCATGTACCGTCCATGGCTCTCGAACGCGTCGCGTCAGCAAACGATGCTTCTCACATTGCGACGCAGAGGAAAAACGCGTTCTGGACGGGCCAACAACAGCCTGCGACAACGGTCACGCGTTTCGTCACAGAACCTGTCGCAGAAGCTGTCGCAGGACATGCTCTCCGGCGACAGCTGACTCTGGCGAAGTTTACGGGGAATGGGAAGGCGCAACATTATACGGCAGGGCGCGTGGATGAGATGGAGGCGGAACTAGCGCAGGCGGGAAAGGGATTGGGGGGGGTGGAAGGGGGAGCGGAAGCGGGAACAGAAGGGGGAGGGAAGGCGGAGGGGATGGGGAAAGCGAAGGGGGGAAGAGAATGGAAGAAGGGGGAGGCGGAAGGCGGAAAGGAAGAGAAGAGCGTAAGGGGGAGTGGAAGTGATGAGGGCGACTTGGAAGCGCAGGCAGCGCGCGCGGGGGGGCGAGCTATCCGCTCCGCCTCCCCCGCTCCCAATCTCCCCGGCCGCTCCCCCTTTCCCCCAGTCCCGCGGCCCGCTCCCCCCGTCGTGGATGCCCGTGCCCGCGCGGCGCCTGGGGTGGGCGGCGCAGAGCGCGGCGCTCCCCGTGATCGCGCTGGACCTCTTCAACACGCACCTCCGCGCGCCCCTCCACATGCGCTGCCACGGCCGCGCCTGCCCCGCCTTCTCCCCCTGCGGGGACACCTTCGGGAACGTCGCCGCCTGCTGGAACCCCGAGCTCTCCGCGGATAAGAAGAAGCTCTTGCGCGCGCCTTTGAACTGCCCCAGGATTAAAGACTCGCGGAGGGAGGAGTATGGGGATGGCGGAATCGGGGAGGGAGGGGAAGGGGAGGGGGAGGCGGAGGATGGGCTGAGGGCGAACCTGACGTGTTCTCATCCTGAGGACTTTATTTTGTGTGACGCTGTTGCTTTCCAGGTGTGTGTGTGTACTGGCGGGGAGGGTTGTGTGTATGTGTTTGGGTGGGTGCGTGGTTGTGTCTGCATGTGGGAGTCCGTGAGCGTAAACTTTGGTGTCTGTGTGCATGTATGTATGTGTACATATGAGTGTGTGTTTGTGTGTGTGTACGAGCGTGTGTATGTGCGTCTGTGATTGTGTGTTTTTGTGTTCTTGCCTACTCCTCAACACTCCCACTCTCACTCCCACTCCCTCTCCCACTCCCACTCCCTCACCCTCTCCCACCCCCACCGTCAGACCTTTTGATTGCACCACGTGTTTGTGTGTACGTACGTGCAAGTGTGTATGTGTGATCCTATGCCTTAACAAGAACATTACTGCCATTCGTGCTCCCACTCCCACCACCAGACTTTTCGACTGAAACACGTGTTTGTGACGAATCTTGGTTTCACCTTCAATCGCACGCATAGGTTTGTGCGCAACGGTTGCCACGCCTATGTCGAGGTGACTACCACTTTCTCAACAACTCCCTCTCACACATGCACACACACACCCACCCACACACGCACGCACGCGTACACACGGATGCATAGGTTCGTGCGCAACGGCTGCCACACCTATATCGAGGTGACTAATACTCTCAACTCTCACTCGTACATGCACGCACACACCCACCCACGTACGCACGCTTACACACGCACGCACGCTTACACACGCACGCATAGGTTCGCGTGCAACAGCCGCCACGCCTATGCTGAGGTGACTTGACCACTATCTCGACCCACTCACCCACACCTGCACATGCCCGCACCCACCCACTCACCCACACATGCCCATGCATGCACTCGCCCACCCACACACACTTAAACACACGCAAATGCATGCATGCACACTTACACGCACGCACATGCCTTTTCAAGCGTCTCAACAATAGGCTCTTGCGCATTGTGCAACGGCTGCCAGGGCTATTCAGAGGTGACTACTACTACGACCCACTCGAATGCACACACACACACGCGCGCGCGCGCGCGCACACACACACACACACGCGCGCTCAGGCGAATGCTCTAGGTGAAAGGTGACTCTTGAGTCGACTCAAAACCCCCACCCCCTCTCCCACACCCCTCCTCCCCTGCTTCCCTCCCCACCTCTCATTCTCCCAGTTCGCCTTTCCTGCAAGCACGCGAGTGCACAAGGTGACTCGGGCCATCAACTGGGCGCACGGATCCGGTCTAGCGTTCTACCACATGTTGGTGGAGGCCGTGCCTCAGTTCTTCAACCTCGCGCCCATCATGCCTGCTTTCTCTGGTGGCCGTGTGCCTATTATCTCGTCTGCAAAGCAGGTGTGGGCATGTGTGTGGGCATGCGTGATTGGGCATGGGTGTTCACATGAGCGTGGGCATGTGTTTGGGCATGTGTGGCTCAAATGGGTTCCGGGCTGGCGTTCAACCACATGCTGGTGGAGGCCGTGCCTCAGTTCTTCAACCTCGCGCTCATCATGCCCCCGTTCTCGCGACTTTCTCCAGCGCCCGTGTGCCAATTATCTCGTCCGCAAAGCAGGTGCGTGCGTGTGTGTGTGTGTGTGTGTGTGTGTGTGTGTGTGTGTGTGTGTGTATGTGTTTGTGTGTGTGTTTGTGTGTGTGGGTGTGTGTGTGTGTGGGTGTGTGTGTGTGGGCACGGGTGTGGGCAAGGGTGTGGGCATCGGTATGGGCATGTGTGTGGGAGGGATCAGGCTTTGACTGGTGCAAAAGTCTTGGGGGAAAGCTGTACCATATGCCGGGTTTCACCTGACTGCACCTGAACGCACCGCGTTGCACCTGACGGATTGAATGTTCGTGAATGTGCATGAGTGGCTGGCAGGCGAGGGTTTGGGACCGTTTGGTGGCGCCGCTGGTGGGCGTATCACGGGAGGGAGTGCAGCTTATAGCGCCAGAGGAGGACCATCTCATCTTCGCCCATGAGCTGATTGAGGTAAGCCAGTCACCACCACTTTGAAACTTCTTGTTTGTAGATGCCTCACAATTGGATTTTGAGACGTCTGGTTGCTTTACGGTTCACGGAAGGGAGTGCAGCTTGTAGCGCCTGTGGAAGACCAACTCATCTTCTTCGCCCAGGAGCTGATTGAGGTAAGCTAGTCACCGCCTTGAGACTTCATGTTTGGAGACAGAATTTTTCCAGTAGCTTGTGGAGGAGCTTGTCGAGGCCACTCACTCACCACTTGCTGCACTCTGCACCCAACCCTTTGATATTCTCCCCCTTGCAAGCATCCATGCACGCACGCGTACACATACACATAAACATACACATGCACGCATGCTTGCTCGCACACATAGGTTCGTGTGCAACTGCTGCCACCCCTTTCAAGCATCTCCTTCCCTCATTCCAGCTCCAATCTCGCACACCCTCCCTCCTCCTCTTGCCCCCCTCCACCCCCTTCCACTCTCCCCCACGCCACCCAGCCATCCCGGCAGTACTGCGGGGTGCCAGCACGGGGCCTATGGCACAGCCTGCGGCGGCGGCATCTGCTGCACCCGCAGGGGTTGCCTCTCTTCCACCGCAACTGGACGCAGCGCCACCTCTCCCCGCTCTCCGACCAACAGATGGCTCTGCTGCCCGCCGACTGGGTGGTGCTGCTGGTGCGGCGGCCGGGCAAGGAGAGGGTGATGGAGAGAGAGGGCGACCTGGAGGCCAGCATGAGGCGTGTGTTTGGCAACCGCCTGGTGGTTTACGGCAAGTCGCTGCCCATTTTGCAAGGTGCGAGTGGATTCCTTGGTGGAGATGTTTCAAAAAACCTCCCCCACTCCAGCTTACCCCCCCTTTTCCCTCCCTGTACCACTGTCAGCCCAAGCCCTGTTCTGGCCCTCTCACTCTTCTCCCCCCATTTCGCTTCCTCTTTCCACTTCGTCCCCTCCCTTCCCCCTTCCCTCCCCGCGCCCCATGCTGTCAGCCCGAGCGCTGTTCCGGAGGGCGCGGCTGGTGGTGGCGGTGCACGGGGCGGGCCTCTCCCACACCATCTTCATGCCCTCCAATGCCTCCGTGCTCGAGATTCGCCCTCGGGATTACCACAACACGTGCTACCACCATCTTGCAGAGGCCTGCGATCTCAACTACTACTTGCTGTTGGGCGAAGGGAATAAGAAAGGCACAGTTAGGGCGGATCAAGAGAAGATTATGCAGCTAGTTGAAAAAATAGTCGAGGGCTGGAAAGACAAGACAGGGTTAGTAGTAGAGCATATTCCTTCAAGTGGGAATGCTGGAAGCTATCTTGAAATTGAGGGCCGTAGCAACTAAATCCGACTGATTCAATTGTTGAACTGCATGTAGCAAGGTCTGTATCTCCTATCTCTGGAAATCGCGAAGAACAGGAAGAAGTCTGCTGATTGGTGGCCGTCAGAACAATCGACAATCCCGAGGCCTTCTCAAAAGGGAATAGGAAAATCGGGTCTAGTCGAAATCGCAGGGGCGTGTCATGCTGTCAGATGCATTGCCGCCAATTCCGAAGTTCGGTTCAACTCAGTCCAGTTCAATCCAACCCCAAAAGTTGTCCGTGTTTTTGTTCACAGATCCAAATCGGTTCTGTTTAGCTTCCTTGCATTTTGATGCGGTGGTGCACGGCGATAACCACAGTTTGTTCGAACTCTGCCACTCTGAGTAATCCCGTGTACAGTTCTGCTGTCTGTTGAAGAGTGAGCAGCGCAATGGATTGGACGTTGGACCTTCAGCGGCTTGAATTGGACGTTCCCTCGAATCCATCCATAGCTTCCACTAGCCGTCCTGTTACCTCCATCCCTTGTCCGTGACGCCTATGTTGTTATTGCGTATGTGTCAAGATGGGAGGGGTGATAGAGCGTTACACGGAAACGTAAGAGAAGAGATTGAGCGAGTGTAGGAGAGATTGCTTCAACAGGGAAACGTATGAGCGAGTTGAAGTCTGCTTTTTCTGACCTCCTAAGAGAGCTATGTGATATTGGGAAGAGGAGAGCAGTGAAAATTAAGGATAACCAAATCTTGTTCATGGCTCCCTTTAGTCCATAGAAAATAGTTGTATCTGCTCTTGTTTAGACGACCGTCGAGCTTCGCTAGCGAAGCGAAGCACACAGTTTTCGACAATTGGTTAGTGGCGGTTGATCTAAATACGGATTACTGTTAAAAGGAACTGGTATCACCTATCATCGTCCTCCGCTTATCACCGTTACGATGCTCTGCGGCCTCCGTGCTGCTGCCGTCTACGTTTGCCGACATCCATCTCCGTCACCGTCTCCGTCTCCGTCGCCGTCTACGTGCACATCAACGTCCACGCCGACGTTTGCGTCCACTGATACTTGACTCCTGTAACTACCATTCTGTAGGGCTCTCTACGGCCGCTACGTTGAATAGACCACGTTGGATAGGCTACATCAGATAGGCTACGTCGGATAGACCTCCCATGTCGAGCCTATGGAGGCGGTGCATATTAATTATCTTCCCAATGGTCGGCGATCGGAGTCCCAGGTTTCGGATTTAAAGCGCGAGATGCTGTTTGCGGAGCCTTTACGGGGAGAACTGGTACACACTACAGCAGCGGGGAAAGGAGGAGGAGGAGGAGGGGGAGGGGGAGGGGGAGGGGGAGGGGGAGGGGGAGGGGGAGGGGGAGGGGGAGGGGGAGGGGGAGGGGGAGGGGGAGCGACAGGAGCAGCAGCAGATGGATACTATGGGACAAACGCCCTGCATGCATCGAATCCGTTCGGCTCAAACTCGATCGAATTTAATCCCACCGAATCACATCCCAACCTTCCACCATATGCTATTGGGAACGAGCATCATGCTTCTGAGGCTTTAGGCATGCCATCGGCGTTAGTGCCAATGCCAACCCCTGCAGGCACCTATGGGGAAAGCTCCCCTGATATCAGCTCTCTGTCTAACTCCTCTCGATCTGAGTACACCGTGACGTCTCAATCATCGACGCAAGCAGCAGAGAAGCAGCAGCAGCAACACCACTATCAGCAGCAGCCGCAGCAGCAGCAGCAGCAGCAGCAGCATGAACGGCAGCCGCGACTGCTTCCCATGCCTCCTGACGTTAACGCCCAGGCACAGGAGCAGCAGCAGCAGCGTCGAACCCGCTCCACCAGCAGGCTTCTCTTCAGATGCCCCACCGACGTTCCCCGGGGAACTGATGCGTCCGAAGCTGCTGTCGCTGCTGCAGCTGCCGCTGCTGCTGCTGCAGCCGCCAGGGGTAGCACTCAATGCACTGCTGCCGCAGCAGCAGCAACAGCATCAGGGGCAAACGCTGCTTCCGCTCCTGGTGCTGCTCCTGCTTCTGCTGCCCAGACCTCCACTCACTTGTTTGCCTCCTTGCTTCCAGGAGAATTAGGCCGGACCTTATCACTTTCAAACACGTCCGGGCAGATGAAAGACCGCTCCTCTGGACAGCAGCAGCAGCAACAGGCGCAACAGCAGCAGCAGCAGCAGCAGCAGCAGCAGATAGAAAGCTCTGTTGGGGGGCTCAAGTCGTTAACGTCGGCTTGCGTGACCACGCCTGCTGGAAAGGAGTATGACATTGTTGCAGTTAGTTTCTGGCTGGCTGCGTTGCAGGAGGGGTGCTCGTTAGTGAAGCTGTCTAAAGCGGGGATGGGGAGAGGCCAGCCGAGGAGCTTTGTGGTGGTGGTGGAGAATGGAGGATCGGTGCGTGTGTGAAACGAAGGGGGTTGGGTGGGTAAGGGAGGGAGGGAGTTGATGGGATTTCTGGGTTATACTGTCGCTTTGGTTGGCGTGGCTTTTGCTTTTTCTTAGTAGGCCAGTCGAGGAGCTTTGTGGTGGTGGTGGAGAATGGAGGATTGGTGCGTGTATGAAACATGGAGGGTGGGGTAGGGGGGATGGAAGGATTTGAGATATTTTTTGGCTATGCTGGTGTTGTGGGATTTTTTATGTGCTAACCCACCATTTACTTTCTCATGCTCTCTCCTCTCCTTCCCCTCCTCCCTTTCTATCTCTCTATCCCTCTCGCACACTCACGCACACTTGCCCCTTTCTTCCCTCTCTTCTTCATTCTCCCGCTGTCCAGTTGTCACTGAAATGGGAAAAGCAAGGACTTATGGGAAAAGTGGCAAGATCAGGTGGGTGTTGAGTGATACAGTGTGTGAATCTGGATGTATGTAACATGTGTGTGTTTGCGCGCGCGCACGGGTGCCCACTTAGGCACATGCATACATGCATGCATTCTCAATGAAACCATGCACATGTGTGTATCAACACCTTCACGGTTAGGGGGGAGGAGTAACAAAGGGCGTACACTGTGGCGAGAACAGAACAATACTACCGTTGGGCTGACCCACATGCTGTGCAAATGTCATATGCGAGCGTCAAGCTCCCTTACTCTCAAACACCACCTCCCACGCCAGACCTAATCAATGAGTTCTCTTCTCCCCGCTGCCTCGCCCTTTTATTACCTTTTTTTTTTTTTTTCAAAAGCCCACTATGTAATCTCTTTCGGCCTTCCTTCTCTCCCTCCGTTCATCTGGCCCATACATCATGTTTTGTTTCGTAATAAAACTCAATATTCCAACCCTGTCTGTCCCCAATGCCTTCCCCCTAAACACATCACCACCACCACACAGCCCAGCTGCTCTGCTCTCCACCGAACCCACCAACGCAGCTTTTGAGGCGCCTTGAAGTTGTATTGTTACAAAATCAATGTCCCACCTCTCCCTCTCCCCCATTCCTCCCCCCCACACAAATCACCCCCACACAGCCCAGTTACTTTCCACCGAACCCACCAACGCAGCTTCCTGGGAGTTTCTCATGGAGACCTCTGCAGGGGCCATAGTGGCGAGAGCACCTTCAGAGGAATGGTTTCAGATCTGGACGGAAGGCATGGTGTCTGTGTTTGAGTATGCACGCTCCATGAGGGGGTATGGGAGCAGCAGAGAACGGAAATAGACAGGTTGGTGGCTTGGTGGGTTGGTGGGGGTTGGCTGGTTGGTATGTGGGTTGATGGTCCACTTGGGCTTGCAAGTTATGCATTACGTCGGCTCGGCTTGTTCCCCTGGGTAGAACAAGGATGAGAGTAATCATGGTTAAACAAAAAAGGGCTTGTTCTCCTGGGCAGAGGAATGATGAGAGAGGTAGTGGTTAAAAACGGTTGAAGAGAGGCGGTTTGAAGATTTGCTTTGCTATAACCTCTTGGCTGGTGGGTGTTGGGTAGGTTGCTGGACAAAAGGAGATCTAATGGTAGCAAACGCTATGGGGTGTAGGCTGCTGTGAAAAAGCATGTAGCTTCTGTGGCTGCAGCTCATACGGTATGTCTGGTAGTCTCAGCTTTCACTCTGCCTAAGAGTGAAGTTCCAGCCAGCAGGAAATGAATAGCTGAGAGTGTACTGCTCCGGAAGTAATATGATTTTTTTTGAAAGTGTGTAACACTTTCTAAAAATATGTATTTAAATGAAGCACGTTGCCTTGCAAGAACAAGAAAGCAAGCTTTCTTAATATGGTAATACAATGCACATTCGCTAGGTTCCTGACGGCAGGTCAAGCATTCTTAATCCTTACATGGAAAGGTTACGTAATTCTGGATTAAGAATTTATACAAGCGGCTTGCGAATACACAAATTTCTGCATTTATGTACACCGTTTTGTACCAAGAAGCCCACAAATTTCTGCATTACCTGTACCACAAGCAATGACCTGAGGATTGAGTTTGACTATACAGTAAAAGCCCACGCGTGACAGAGATAGAGGGATGACTATACACAGAGATGCATCGGCAGCAGGGCTGACTTTATCAGACTAAAATAGTCTGATTGTCTGAAATCTCAGGGTATTTTCCTACGGATCCTGATTTTTCAGACTTGTAAGATTTTCAAACATGAGTGCCTCAGACTTGGTTTTGGATCCTGAGATTTTCAGAGTACTGACTTAGCCGATAATGGGTCTTCATACTACAGGGAGTACGGATCCTGAAATGCGGATCTGTGATTTCTACGTACATTCCGCTACGTCATATGTTGCCAGTGTACGAACACACTTCATGGCGCTGTCACGCGCAGAATCTGTCCTTGGCAACTTTTGCCACCCTTTTCCCTTAGAAATCTGCCAACTTGGCTCACTCTTCCACTCACGCGGGACCATCACTGCAGCTACGCGGTGTCAGCGAGGGAAACTGGTTAGCGTTGCGCCCCACGTGCTACGTTTGTGGCAGTGCTGTATTGCAGTGGTTGTAGTGTGTTCTGAGTACTTCAGACTTGTGTTTTTGCGGAACCTGAAAAATCAGAGTGGCCATTCTCTGGGAAATATGCCTCAGACAAAATTTTCAGAGCCCCCAGAACACCAGACTGGATTTTTTTGAATAGTCAGCCCTGGTCGGCAGTGAGTCTACGACTAAATACACTGGAGTTGAAAAAGCAGCCGGTAGGGGGCCAGCAGGGAGGGAGAGGACTTGCGAAAGAACAAAGAACAATCGGTGCGATGCCAACAGCGAGTGGTCAGGTCAGGTCAGGTCAGATGTGCGAAGACTCATTCCAGCAGAGCGGTGATCGGTCGGGTCGGGACCAGTCAAAGCAGGTGCTAGAGCTGCTAGCACAAGTGACTGTAACTTGTGTTTTAAGGAGCTGGTTGTAGAGATGTTACCAGCACGCTCACGCAATGGTGGCGGTAAGTGGCGTGATGATGAGTGGCAACGGAACAGCAGAGGAAGCAGGGGCAGCTGCGGCGCCAGCAGCAGTAGCAGCAGTGGTGGGAGTACAAGCGATCTCTGATTTCCATCACTGTTGCTTTGGATGGTCGCTTTTTGCTGATGGTGCTATGGGGAATGGAGCAGAAATTGGACGTGGGAAAACATGAAGGTTGGGGGTTGGGAGCAAAACATGAGGCAGGGAAGGCAAGAAAGAAAGGAAGACTAAGAGGTAGGGCAAGGAACGGAAGGATAAGTTCCCGAAAACTTGAACCTGGATGATCCCCCAAAAAAGAGAGAGAACGTCATGACAAAAAAGGATGGCAACATGAATAAAGGTTTACATGCTGAGTTGAACACCTTAGATACGTATACTAGGAAGGCATGTCGTTTTTTCTTGATTCGACTCTATATTCTGCACAGAGACTCACATGGTGAGACCTGCGCAGACTCAAAAGTATGGCATGATGCAATGAGAGAACAGCCTAGTATATCTCAACAGAACGTAGCAGGCGAGGAAACGACAAAGACGAAACCATAAAACGACAGACTGCCCAGGGCAAAAAAACTAAACCCCAGAAGGATGGCATGCCATTTGGGAGCCTCAACCCTACAATTTTAGGGTTTAGGCTCCCGAATGGCATGCCAGTTGCTTCGGGGTTTAGTTTTCTTCTGCCCGGGTCAGGGTGACGCTCCCGAAAGCGTCACCCCCGAGCGTCACCCCGGGCAAAACAGAGCGTCACCCCCGATTCCGTTGAGAGATACAGACACTTACATGCTGAGGTGAACAGCCAAGAGATGCCTGGGAGGCATGACAGCCGTTGGATCATTCTATGGATGTTCTTGTACACGTCTGCAAGCAGGAGCCTCCCTTTATAGTAGCACACCTGAAGTACAGGCGTGGGAGGCGTGAAATATTACATATATATAGAACAACACAGGAGGACCGGAGAGGCCGAGCACTGAGGGCGAGTGTCCCCTGGACAGGTTGACTTTTGAGTCGACTTGAAAGTCAGGGCCGGTATAGATAAGCTTATTACAGCAGGGCGGGCGACGGGAAGGGGAGGAACGGGGAGCAGCAAGGGCAAGGAGAAGGCTCATTACAGCAGGGTGGGAGAGAGGAGGGGAAAGGGAGGAATGGGGAGCAGCAAGGGCAAGGAGAAGGCTCATTACAGCAGGGTGGGAGAGAGGAGGAGAAAGGGAGGAATGCGGAGCAGCAAGGGCAAGGAGAAGGCTCATTACAGCAGGGAAGGAGAGGCCGAGCGCAGAGGGCGAGTATCCCCGGGAGAGGTTGCGAAGAATGTAGTCATCCCTGCGAGAGATGATGCGCGCTATGATGTCTGATGTGGATATGCCGTCCGTGCGCTGCGTGGGGATGAACTTGCCTATGCTCTTCACCTGGTGGGACAGGCGGGGGCCAAGGGAGAGGGGAAGATGGGGAAGCAGGAAGGGGGGGAGAGGGAGAGGGACAGGATAGGAATGGAAAGCAACGGAAAATGGCTCTGTTGCAATGGACAAGAGGTAGGTAACTGAAGGCAACTAAAACGAGTTACGCCTACATCTGTGGCTGACGTGAGGTGTTCTGGCAGTAACAGAGGTAAGGACCTGTGCACGCTCAAAGCATGAATCATCAGAATCAGCGTGAACCTCAAATGACAGAGACCAAGCAGGGAACGGCTCACATACATAGGCATACACGTCTTGAGGTTCGCTGGAAGAGCCTCCTTCTGCTTTCTGCCTGCCGTGAAAAGCACAGGAGCACCGGGACAGGCAGAGAGATCGAGTGTAGGTACTTCAGCTTTTGAGGGGAAGCAAAAAAGAGGAAAAAGAGAGAAGAAAGAAATCAGTTTCTGCTTAACAGGGAATGCTCGGGAGCACAGGGCAGAGAGGCGGGTGCACGTGCTGAAGAGGAGGAGGAGAGCGAGAACGGGGAGGATGGTGGATCATGCAACGGCATATAAGAGGTGGATTGGTGGGAGCGGTGGAGTGGTGAGCGTGGTGGGATTGGTGGGCGTGGTGGGTGCGGTGGGCGAGGTGGGAGTGCGCACATGTAAGGTAAGCAGCGCGTGCTACATAGTCGATGGCATGGCGGGCGATGAAAGGAATGTAGCCGTACGCTTTGCACATGCACGCCCATACGCACAAAGCCACAGACTCTTACATGTAAGGGATGGAGTCGTGTGCTACGTAGTCGATGGCATGGCAAGCGATGAACTCCTCTGTGAGCACCCATGGCGCATTCTCCACCACCTCATCCACCCACCTGCGCATGCAAGGACATGTAAGGGCATGTGTACATATGGACACATGGGGAGCATGGGCGGATGCATGCACGCATTCATGCGTGCACACAGGCATGCATGCAAACATGCAGAGAATGCGTCAATCCGCAGGTGTGCACGGAAATGCGAGCGTACGGACTGCATGCACTTTCTCACAGATATAAAACAATCGCCAGAGCAGCCGAGAGGAAGAAATGCGAAATAAGGAAGAAGAGAGAGTGGAAAGCAGAGAAAAGCATAGGCAGGCAGGCACGTACCGGCAGTGTTTGAGGGCTAGGCATCGCTCCTTGTGGGTTAGCAAGCACTGTAACTTTTGAGAGAGGGCGAGGGCACGTACCGACAGTGTTTGAGGGCTAGGCATCGCTCCTTGTGGGTTAGCACGGTAGGGCCCTTGAGCCTTGCTGTGTCCTCGTCATTGCAGCAACCCACTATAAGGTACGTCCGCGGGAACCTGTGCGTGAGACAGCAGATGGACAAACAAGAAACACTGCATCAGCACAATGAGAAAAAATGGGCACTCAAATAATTCACCACTACACTCACAAACAAGTCAGTCCATCCAATCCTAGATTAGATGCCCCACTCTTCCCGCTACCCTTCCCCCGACTCCTCCCCACATGCGCCCTACAGCTGTTTGGCCTGTTGCAGAGCTTGCGCATGCCCCTACCCACACCCACTCTCCCCCCACTCTCCCCCCACTCTCCCCCAACTCTCCCCCGACTCTCCCCCCACTCTCCCCCCATGCGTCCTACAGCTCTTTGGCCTGTTGCAGCGCCTGCGCGTGGCCGAAGTGGAACAGGTCGAAGATCCCATCCACATACACGCGCACCTCCCTCCCCTCCTCACCCGCCCGCTTCTCACTCCCGCTCTCCGCGCTCCCCGCTCCCCCTCCGATCACCGCGTTCCCCGAGCTCCCCGCGCGCCCTGCACCTTCCGCGCTCCCTGCGCGCTTCTCGGAGTCGCCTCCGCCACCACTTGCCCCACTGGCACTGCTTGCGCCACTGGCGCCACTAGCGCCACTTGCGCCAATTGCGCCTTCGCCGTCACGCGACGGTTCTCCATTCGTTACTCCGCTCGAAGGGTTCTCCCTCGCTCCGCCGATCGTCCCCGCGCCTCCCCCATCAACTCCTTCCCCTCCCCCGTGGCTCTTCTCCATTCCGTCACCACGACACTCGTCTTGCCTGCAAACGAAAATTACTCCCGGAGAATAAGCGGCGCCAAGTTAGAAACGCCAGGCGTTACACGAATCCCCCTATTCCGCCGCGTACACACCCAACTCTCCTTTGAGTCAAAGCGACGTGGGGAGTTCCCGAATTGACGCAAGTAGCACCCTCGGCAGTCGTCGCTGCAGGAAGTACTATGTTTCTGTCGCGCAACGCTATGATCTTGACGCGATTCCTGGCCACTATCTACCCACCCACCGCCGCTGTGATCGCGGCGACAAGCTAACCTCCTTCAGTCGACATGAATTTGAGCTCGTGGCTCGTAGATCGTAGCTCGCAGCTCCGAGAGGCCCAGGAACGGCCTTGTGGGAGTCTGTAGAGGTTTGGACGCGTGGAAGTGCGCCAGATGGGAGCGCTTCCAGCTGATTAGCGGGCTTTGCGGGATGTTGGCCACGTGGTGACACGTCAAACGAGCATGTGAAGAGTACGTCGCCTCGTTTTTAAACGGAGCCCCCTCCATGGCTTATTGTTCGTCATGTCTATCCTTTTGTTAAATACGATATGGAATAAGGGTAAAAATATCGAGATACAGATTCGAATAACAGAAACATAAATTATAGAATAGAAGAATGATTAAACCGATCAATATAATGGAGGTCGTGGTACCAAATATCTCATGTAATATCTCCAGGCTGGGTCCAACTTCTGGAATGTGCTAACTAAAATAGTATGTGGATTTAATATAAATTATGTACTAGATCTTTCCTGTATTCAAATTGTGCTGAAAATGCATGATGCAGTTTAGCGTACCTGGTACCATAAAATCAGTCATATCATATGTGATGAATCCCAAGTACATGCTTTTAAAATATGCCAAGTGACCACAAAAAGCATGTCCGTGATTGTACGTCCCCTCCTGACCTGACCAGGTCAGCAAATTGCAGCGTCCACGTCAAGTCTCTCAGTCCTGACGCAATCGGCTCGGCAAATAAGGAAGCTGGGCAGCGAAGTAAATTTACCACACTTCGCGAGATGGTTACATTCTCTTTCTGGAGTAACGAAAGTCCCGTACCCGATGATGTATTCGTTCTGCGACACAATTCTGCGAAATGCATGACACCCCCTTTCTGCAAATTCCAATGCCGCACGTGCAGTCACGTCGATCGCATGCCCTGCATCCCATGCGAACGTCACATCTGGGCCAATCCACGACAGCACGAGAGCAATATGAGGCGGCGTGGCAGCCAGTCAAGCAACGCCCGATCCAGCTCACTTCGGCCAGGCCCTATCCCCGACAGCCCTCAAAAGCAACGCCTTGGAGTGGAGGGAAACTCCAGAACGAACACTGGTACACCGACAGGACAACATTAAAACGCGATGTAAATCTATACCGCACTGAACCTTTCTGTAATCTTTACAACATCTGTCTCACCGACCGGAATCGCGACTGCGAGTCTGAATCCGTAAGAACACCCAGCAGTTTCCAATCGGGCTCTGTGGACGAACATAATTAACTGGGTTTCATTTCACGTCACCTCACCTTACCACCGCAACACGCGTCTTCCTCTATCCTATTGTGCCTAAATATTTTCAGAATGCCACCAGCAGACAACTCACAACACAGTACACTGCACCTCATCATCCCGTCCTACGCCACCTAATCTTGATGCGTTGTACATTGCTCGTTGCCGCCATTTCCTCCAGGCATTTGCGTGCTGCTAGTTTCTCTGTTGCTTGTTCGCGTCGTAGTTTCCAGCCATTTTCAGCAATATTTACTGCTGATTCAGCGAAATTGTGTATGCCTTCGGTTCTGTACAAATTTCCCTGAAATTTAGTCTACCTAGACTTCAAGCACACGTTGAGTCAAGACGGACGTCTAGGCTGTGCGGGAAGCCCAAGGACCAGTATTTTCAACGTAGAATCGCCAATACGTTGTAATGGCTTCCGTCTGGTGCCTTTCAGTTTCGACAGGGATTCCTTTTGGATGATATAGAAACAGCATTATATCGTTTATCGCCGCACGACCAATCAACGAGTCGCAGAACGGAGCCATAATAGCTAGATTCAGTGCCTCGTAGAGCGCAGATAATAGTACTACTCCAATAATTGAACCTCACCCTGCCATTACTTCCCCGATGGATGGCCCTTCATACGGCCGGGGTTATGGCGGCGCGAATGCGGAGTTTTATCTTCCGAACTATAGGCTAGGCAAAACGCTAGGTATAGGCTCGTTCGGTAAGGTAAAAGTTGCGGAGCATGTACTGACGGGACATAAAGTGGCGATTAAAATCCTCAACAGGAAGAAGATCCGATCCATGGACATGGACGAAAAAGGTGCGTCTTTCGCCAGATTGTAGCAACGGGCAGCGTTTTATTCCGTAATTTCTGACATCCTTCCGGTCTTTCTCGAGGTTCATTTTCCTTCGGAAGAAAGACATATCCGTGCATGTCTCGTGTTGCGTTTTGATGTTTGCGTTTCGGGTTGCGCTTCGGCTCGGCGATTCCTCCTCTTTATCCATCCGCACTTTATCCATCGACCTCTCATTTTCACTTCATTCTCACTTCCATTCGCTATTCAATCGCACTTCATTCGCCGGTACGAAGTTACAGAAACCCCCACTTACATCCTTCTCTTTTCATTCCTATCCAGAATCTGTCTTCTCCTCCTCCGTCTCTCCCTCCTCTCCCTCCAACCCTCCGTCCGTCCATCAGTGAAGCGCGAGATCAAGATCCTACGGCTCTTCATGCATCCGCACATCATCCGGCAGTACGAGGTGATCGAGACGCCCACCGACATCTTCGTGATCATGGAGTACGTCAAGTGCGGCGAGCTCTTCGATTACATCGTCGAAAAGGGCCGCCTCGCAGAGGATGAAGCGCGCCGATTCTTCCAGCAGGTGGGTGCCTCATATTTTACCTGAGGGTATTTTGAATTTCTCTCTTCCTCTCCCTTCCCCCTCCACGTCCCCCCTCCCCCTCCACGTCCCCCCTCCTCCTTCCCCCCCAACCCCTCCCCCAACACACGCGCATCTGCTTCGCCTCATCGCTCGCTCCTGAACGGCCCATCATAATATGCACTATGTGGATCATGTGCAGGGTGGATGGATGGAGTATCGCCGTGGCGTTGCATCATGGTGCTTGCTTCACGCACTGGAATATAAATCCCGCTCCCTCCCCTCTCCCTCCTCCACCCCTCCCTCACATTCGCGCCTCACCTTCGCACCATGCTGCTGCAGATCATCAGCGGGGTGCACTGCCATCGCAACATGGTGGTGCACGCACAGGGACATCATGCCCCCTCGCTCTCCATTCTCCCCCCCTCTTCCTCACCTTCCCGTTTCCCCTTCGTACCTTGCTGCTGCAGATCATCAGCGGGGTGGAGTACTGCCATCGCAACATGGTGGTGCATCGCGACTTAAAGCCCGAGAACCTGCTGCTGGACGGCAAGGGCAACATCAAGATCGCGGATTTCGGGCTCAGCAACGTCATGCGCGACGGGCACTTCCTCAAGACGTCCTGTGGCAGCCCCAACTACGCTGCTCCGGAGGTATGAATGGGCAAGTGAGGTGCCTGCCTTGAGAGTGACTGCCTCAAGGTCGCAGACTTTGGGCTCAGCAACGTCATGCGCGACGGGCACTTCCTCAAGACGTTCTGTGGCAGCCCCAACTACGCTGCTCCCGAGGTATGAATGGGCAAGTGAGGTAATGTCTAGGGTTTCAGAGTGGCTGCCTTGGCATCAAGATCGCGGATTTTGGGCTCAGTAATGTCATGCGCGATGGGCATTTCCTCAAAACGTCCTGCGGCAGTCCCAATCACGCTGCACCCGAGGTACGGGTATCGAGCGGTTACTATAGGTAACAGCAGTGAAGTGCGGGTAACGTGAAACGGGAAATGGGGACCGGGAAACAAGAAGCAGGCGAGGGTTAACGGACAACGGCCCCCAAAACGGGTGATTATATAGATACTATGCTGCTTTCAAAGGTGCAAGTTGCTTTCTCGTTCGCCACTGCGCTTTGACAGTGGCGAACGAGTTGTGAAGGCACATGGCTTGTTCTGAACGAAAGGTGTATAGGTCGATCTTCGCCCCTGCTTTTTTTTTGTATTTGTTTGTTTTTTTTTGTTTTTGTTTTTTTTTGGATGCCATAGCACTTGGGGGAGCAATGCCTATGCACCGCTGTATACTCTTCTGGCAGGTCATTTCCGGGAAGCTATACGCGGGGCCTGAGGTGGACGTGTGGAGCGCGGGCGTGATCCTGTACGCGCTGCTGTGTGGCAGCCTGCCGTTTGATGACGAGAACATTCCCAGCCTCTTCAAGAAGATCAAGGTACTGTGTGCGGTGCAGTGCAGTGCAGTGCGGTGTGGTGCTATGCGGTGTGGGAAGCTGAGTGGGGAGATGGGAGTGATGGAATGGAAGGAGGAGAGAAAGTCGAAGGACAGAAGATGTGGGAAGGAACAGGGATTCATGGAAAGAATATTAGGAGAAAAATAAGTAAGTAAAAGAAAATCGAAGGAAGGAGGAAATGGTCCCATTCAGAGCAGGGCCACATTTCAAAACTCCCGAGTGCATGAGATTCCATACAACGAGTGCTTGAGTAGAAGATGGATTACCCCCATCCCTCAATCCACCTTTACCCCCCATTTCCCCGCCCTCTCCATTCCCCCGTTCCGCCTTCCCCAAAAGTATTTTCCAGGTTCCCCCCGTTTTCCACCTATTCCCGCCCCCATTTCCCGCCCCCGTTCCCCCTCGCCACCCCCACTCCCGTCATCCCCCCCCCCCCCCCGCTTGTAATCTCGTTCCCCTTTAACCCCCCCTTCTATCTCCCCCCTTCCTCCCCTCCTCCCTCGCGCTCATTCAGGGCGGCATCTACACGACCCCTGGGCAACCTGTCATCAGAGGTGCGCGACCTCATTCTGCGCCCCCTCTCCCACCTCTCCGTCCTTTACCCTCCACCCCCTCCCCCCACTCTGTCCCCACCTCCCCCTCTCCCCTCC